AGCTCACAGTGTCATCAGCAGTGTCTGTACTCACACAGACACATCCCGTAGAATAAAATTCCTATAAAATTCTGGTATATATATATAAAGGAATTTCTAACAAGTATACGTAACTACAGTAGCTGAGCAAATATAAACTTTTACATAAACGACGATGATTGTTGATTTGCAAGCGATACTGAACTGTTTTGAAATTTGATCGAATTTACGTCTTCATTAGTACATCGTCATAGCCAGGAATTTTTAAGTAAGGCATTCGTTCAGTTCAGTTCTATGAAGTTAGTAACAAATACTCGTATTTTTTCCTTTTACATTGATTCAAAAATGTTTATCATTTAGATTTTAGGTGATCTTGAAATATTCCAAACGAATGTTTCGTTTCTTATGTTAATAAAACAATTTGTGGCAGAGTTATTGAAGTCACCTCAGTCAATGTTATGGATAAGTACCTCCACCAAATATGAGCCCCATATATAAGGCCGCCCGTGAAGGATAAAGGATCAGGTTAGAAAAAAAAATTGATCATCAGAAATTATCGAGCTCGTCAGATTAAGGTAGGGTGAGTTGATTACCTGCTAAAAAGTGTATATTCCAGTAATCTGACAATTTAAGAGTGACGTAAAGAAAGGGGAAGACAGCAAAGTTGTGAAAAAATAACGTCATTTCGACATTATCCAGAGTAGCAAATTTTTTTTATTTTGAAGGAAATAATTCAAGGATAACGAAAAATATATNTGCCACACGCTTCATGCCCAAAATTTCCAGATACCGGCGTGAATAAAGGGGGTCATTTATTCATCACTTTTTTGACATCCCACATTTCAATATTCAACACAACACAAAACGGAGCCACACGATAGCACATGACATCCGCATACCTTCTTTGTAGACGGACGTTCCAACACTCAATCGCGATCAATTCCTGAACTGAATAGGGCGGCGATAACCATCCCCGCATTTCCCAATTTCTATTCGTCACCATAACATGACTTCAAATTTAATGTTATCACTCTTCAGCCAATCATAAGATTCGGTTAGTATAAATTATCCAATATTGACCGCCAATTATACAGTCCACGTGGACTGGTTCGCAGCCGGTTCTTTTCTATGTATTGGTTTTTTTGGCCTTTGAGAGTGCCGACAACTTTAGATTGCACAATATTCTGTCCAACTAAGCAACGGAGTGGAATGTAGATACACAAATTAGCAGTTTCTTCAGCCCTGTCAGTACTTGACATTTAAAAAATTTCAAACTTTGAAATACCGTATATGTACACATCACAGGCGTTAAAACGTAACTGGCCACTGCAACACTGTAATATGAATTTCGCCAGCCGATTGCAGTTGAATCTGATTGACCAGCTTAAGGAGGCTTGTTTATTTTACCCAATAGATGCAAATGTGCGTGGTGATAATGCTTTGATCAAGCATATGTCTGCTTGGTTATTTTGTTGGATGTATATAGTTTATACTCTTCCTCCTTCAGCGGGGGAGTGACTAAACATTTTCAAGTGGCTGTTCCATGGGCGTACATAACTGAATCGGTTAAAAAGTAAAAAATATAGTATTTATTCAACGTTTATATGAAAGTAGGTTCTTCTTCCAGTTTGTGTCTGAATGTTACTTCTTTGCACATCTTTTTCTAGAGTTAAATTTCTGAAATTCATTGCTTCCTTTCTTTCTATGGACGACTCCTACATTTTTTTTATAAACTTGAAGAAATAGAAAGCCAAAACTTTCTGAATTATAAATCCAGAGCGTGATGAAATCTGTCAATGTCGAAATGAAATATTGAGCTGAAGATATCTCGGGTTATTTTCTAAATTACTAGACTATTTGTACCCGTTTGGGATATTTCTGTAAAAATATTGGTGATGGTTTGTCCAGACAAGCAAAATGTTCGAAAATCAAGTTGTGATTCTCAACAAGGGAGATTACACGACTTGCGCAGTAAATTTAAAAGGAGCAACGATTACCTCATGGAGAATTGAGAACGAGGAACAAATATTTCTTGGCAGACGAACAGAACTATCTTATGTAGGTGGGTATATCATCAGGTAGCTATAGTTCATTTTGCGGACTCGAACATTTTTTGCATTTGGCACAACGATTTTTCCACACAAAAAGCTTATTTGCCTCAGAATAGCACATTTTACGTATATAATTGGAATAAAAGTGCGGCTTAGAGTAAATTTTCACGAACTATTCCAAATTCTGTATTTTCTAAAGTAAGAGTTGGGAAAAATGGTTGCAAACCTTCACAGCTAGACCCCAAAAGTCAGTCGTTAATGCTGAATTAATATTCATTTTTGCTCTGGATATCTCCGAAATCTTTGTTTTCGAATGTATAGCTGTCTTTTCTCAACCTCAAAAATTATTAATATCATGATATTTGTGAAATAATCCTAGGTATCACTCGCGGTGGCATAAGTTTGGCTTTCCCTCGTCACGAAAAGTGGAGTATAGGAAGAAAGCACGGATTCGCTAGAGACATGTTGTGGAAGCTGGAGACAGGGCCTACTTGTAACAAGAATGGCGATGTTTTTGCTGAATTCAGTTTGAGCAGTGATGCCTTCACAGAATCACTCTGGAGCTCTCAGTTTTCTATACTCTGTAGAATCACTCTTCGGGAACGACAACTAGAAATCAAGCTCACCATAGAAAACCTAAGCAAGGAGTTTCCTATGGATTTCAATTGCATGCATCATGCTTACTTCAAAGTACCGGATGTTGCCAAATGCAAGATTAGGGGATTGAAAAATTGTCGGTATTTCCACAATCAGGATCCAGAGAAAAACATGTTTACAGAGCTAAGAAACGAGGTTACTATTTCCCAATACACTGATATACTGTATCAACGGATATCAAAAGAAATGTATTTAGATAAAACTGGAGACTGGGAAAAAGTTCTCAAAATAACTAAAACAAATTTACCAGATATGGTTCTTTGGAACCCTTGGCAGGAGATGGCAAAGACATTGATAGGTTTAGGTAAGTACTTTAATATACATACTGAGAAGTTCATTGTTTGTGAAACAACATACTCCAAACATGCTCTGGTATTCCGGATTTGCTGGTTTCTCCTCGCTGTGTGTGTTTCTTGTGCTAGGCAATGCTAGCTTTCAATGGTCTCTTAGTTTCACCGATGTATGATTCTCCGCACTCGCAGGGCATCCGGTAAATGCAATTCTTGGAATCGCAGTCCGCGTTTGGTGGCTTGGTTTTCGTGAGACTGCTGCGGATAGTGTTCCCAGATCTGAAGAAGATTCTGATGTTATACTTGGACCCAATCCTTCTTATCCTTTCCGGCAATCCTCTGATGTAGGGAAGTACAAGTACTGGTTGGTGGTGTTCCACCACCACTTTGGAGGAATCATTCCGTTGAAGGTTATTTTTGATGAGGCCTAGCCCCTTTTCGAGACCAGAGCCCGAAAGCACGATCTAGTAGAGTCTTGATGATTCCTCTCTTAGTCGATTGATGGTGGTTGGATTCCTGGTTCAGCTACAGTCCCTAGTAGTTCAATTAAGTGCCTTGAATTTTTCACAAAAGATGATGTTTTTCCTTGCAGTGGTTTAATTATTGGAAGTAAAAGTCTGGACAAATTCTGAGTGGCTGAAGCTCTGGATCTAATGATCGGCCTGAGCGGAACATCCTTCTTGTGGATTTTGGGTAGTCCATACAAGTGAGGGGGCTTACTGTTGTGCGGTGTTAGCGATGATATCTCTTTTTCCGAAAAATAGACTTGGTGTTTTTTCAAAGTCTGGTACAACTTCCTTTCAATTGATGCAGTAGGGTCTCTTACGATCTTCGTGTATTTTCCTTTCTTAAGCACCTCTTCTATCTTCTGTTCGTAGAGATCAGTATCCATCACAACAATAGCATTTCTTTTATCTACAGATAAGATCTTGATGGTGTTGTCTTTACGTAGCCCGTTCAGGGCTCTCCATTCTTTATTGCTGATGTTAGATGTTGGAAGTGGTTCTCGATCTAGCTATTGTCTGATTTTCCATCAGAATTATTCTACCTTAATCTGATCAATAAGGGAACTGGTGGATTCCACTGCGGTNAGTAGGGAAGATGACATTTTTTATATTGTATTTTCAATATTTCCAAATCACAATATTTTCGGTAATTCAGTAATATTTAAATATATCATGAGACTATTGCTCATCTAAATAATGTAATAGAAATATTTTTTACCACCTTTGTGAGCAAACTCAAAAAACAATTTAATTCTTTTGCTACTGCTACATGTAAGTTCATATCTTTCAGCAGTGTAAAAGATGTAAATTTGATAACACAACTGTATATTTATTGGATTCGTCCCATTTGTAGTCCTTTCAAAATAAATGAACAATTAATTAATTTTTTGTATGTCTTAATAGAATGGAACTCCAGTTACATTAGTTACGAATAAAAGTGGTAAAAAATATATAAAAAGTTTCTAAACTAGAAGTTTACGTCTCACAACAAATATAGATACTGTGTGTTTATAAAATAAACGTCAAGTCTGATTACGTTTTACGTTCTCTAACCGTCGCGAATGATAAGGTGCATTGTCCATTACAATCACAGCATTATCCTCCAGATGTGGTAGAACTTTGGAAAACTACTGTTCGAAAGATTCACCGTTCATTTCTTCGTGATAATCTCCAGTTTTCTTCGACTCGAAACACCACAGCCCTTCAGCAACAAACNCGGCTTCACCCACGCAGAATTTGGTTTGTCACATTGAGTTTCGTGACAGACCATTTTAAACAAATAGTTACAATATTTTTTTATCAACCCAAAACTTCAGGTTTCCAACTTCAAAACTGACGAAATTCAATGTAATTTTCAAACCCCTATTTTTCTCCCTCGGGGGTGGAAATTCCTGATTCCCTTTCTTGGTGCTTATTTACGCTATACAAAGAACCAACCTGCATATTTCAAGATTCTAGGTTCAGTAGCTTCGGCTGTACGGTGATACAAGAGCGAGCAGCAGTTAGTAATTTATATTATCACTTCCAAAATACAGTAAATAAAAAAATATGTCAACTCTACTGAGTAATGAATAGCTTCGAGAATCGAGTTATGTTAGCTATGAAGAAATTCGCAAAACTAACACAACCGTCAACTACCTCTGCCTTCACATGTCTGCCCACGTTCGGGTCGCGTTTTCGGCGACGGCGCTTCATTGCTTAGGCTGTCCCTCTACCCCCGCGCATCTTCCTCCGTTGTCTTACAGTAAACGCGACGAGTAATGGCTTACTGTGTTGCGCAAAGTTGATCTTACTGTGATAACTTTCAAAAGATTCGTCCAAATTTTTTAATGTAAAAGACAAAGTTTATCTACTTTAAACACTTAAAACAACAATTGTATCAATTTTTATGAGAATTGCATATAGTATCTACTACATATGAGGTAGATACCTATATGCTATTGTTGACTTTTATTTAGAACTATTTAAGATAAGCAATCTTACGGTACAACGGTACAACTATCGCTCAAGAAAATAAATTTAGGCGCCCTCACAAACCGATGCGGCATGTGTGATGAAGAAAGATTGTAATCGCGTTGGTTTTGTTTCACACAGGAAATCACTTCGAAGATGAGGGTTTTCGAAATCGAAGATTCTCCATCAAATAAGTATTTAGTTGTAGGGGATTGAAATAATATTGTTTATTTGAAGGCTGTATGAATAGATATTTCTTTGAATATACCATCAACAGACACACTGCACCCATCAATGGATTTTTTTTCAAAAAGCCAATTTATCAAATGCAGTAATTTGAATTTATTTTTGAATTAGATAATCTGATTTTTTATAGATCTGTAGAAAGCCACAAACCTAAATAAAAAACTATTTCAAATATAAATTCTCCTTCTCGAAATTAAATATTTAAACAAAATTAGTTTTCACGATTTTTCAGTTATCTTCGCAACATACAGAATATATCATATTAAGACCCCCAGTCCGACGCATATTAATACCAACTTTAACACAATATGATAAAAAGCGTCGGCCGCAACTCACTATTTTAATGGCTTGTTAGCGGCATCCTCACGGTGCATATCGGGTAGAAATATCTCAGTGATTTTGTGAATGAATCGCAGTATCACTTGCTTGAGACGACTATGTTGAATTTCGGCATTTCTGAAATTTTTTCACTCTCAGATAATGCCGAATTTACCATACCTACGTTCATTTGTGAGGCATTATTATTATTTTACATAACTATTTCATTGTTGCTGTGTATTTCATTTTGCAATTTTCTGAATTCAGTTTTAACAATTGAATGACAAACAGAGCTATTTGTTTCACACAAGGCAAATGTACAAGTTGAAACTTTCCTGGATACAACATATTTTCATCTTATAAACAGAATTGTTTATGTTAGCAANAAGCAATTTCTTGATCTTTTGCGCATTATAATAATGGCCGCGAGTTTGCATCAGATTGAAATCGTCAGATTATTGAATGAGAGTTTTTTTTGCACTTAGAAAATCTGTCGAACATGAAGTCGCCCCGTTGTTTCACAGTAATTTGCATTACTATCTTCTGTGAAATATTACAAATGAGCTATTATATTCTTATATCCTTCACGATAGATGACTCAGCAGCACATTTGATAATCCAGACCGCCACTGTTCTTATTTATTTTCATCTTCAGGGTATTTTAAGTGATTTGTTTACAATTGCAATAGAAACTAGACATAAGACCGATTGGTGTACACATGTTGTGTATACACATATGCATTTCAATTGCAAGATAGATTCCACATCATGAAAATTAATATGAACGTAAAGAGGCCGCGTATTCTCAAGTATCTCTAAAGCAAACACAACGTAATATTGTTACGATATATTTATACCTAAACCAATCGTCAGTGATCATTTGGAAAATCAACTGAGGTCAGTTTGTAGTTTTTGAAGCACGCCGTCAACTACAGAGTCATGTTAAAATTCAGCTTTGGACTAGTTTTGACATATTGACAAAATTCCCTTCTATAACGGAGAGATTGAATGCTAGAATAAAATGCATTTGTCCAGGACCTCCTATCGAATTGACAGAAGCTTCGTCGGGGGGGTGCAGCGGTCTTGCTCGAAGCAATGCTGCCACCCCTTTTTTATCGATTTTTATAATAAAAAACAGTAATATTTTTTAACATAAAAACAATTTGATATGTTTCGAAGTCGCCTCCTGCTTGGGAGACATTTTGGTTTTTTTTCCACTTATACAGCCCCCTTTACGTGATTATCCGAACCACCCCGGCCTGGATACCGGCGTGAATAAAGGGGGTCATTTATTCATCACTTTTTTGACATCCCACATTTCAATATTCAACACAACACAAAACGGAGCCACACGATAGCACATGACATCCGCATACCTTCTTTGTAGACGGACGTTCCAACACTCAATCGCGATCAATTCCTGAACTGAATAGGGCGGCGATAACCATCCCCGCATTTCCCAATTTCTATTCGTCACCATAACATGACTTCAAATTTAATGTTATCACTCTTCAGCCAATCATAAGACTCGGTTAGTATAAATTATCCAATATGGACCGCCAATTATAAAGTCCACGTGGACTGGTTCGCAGCCGGTTCTTTTCTATGTATTGGTTTTATTTGGCCTTTGAGAGTGCCGACAACTTTAAATTGTACAATACCGTTTACTCCGACTATACCTATACTCTGTCCAACTAAGCAACGGAGTGGAATGTAGATACACAAATTACACACACACACCACAGGCGTTAAAACGTAACTGACCACTGCAACACTGTAATATGAATTTCGCCAGCCGATTGCAGTTGAATCTGATTGACCAGCTTAAGGAGGCTTGTTTATTTTACCCAATAGATGCAAATGTGCGTGGTGATAATGCTTTNCCTTCTTATCCTTTCCGGCAATCCTCTGATGTAGGGAAGTACAAGTACTGGTTGGTGGTGTTCCACCACCACTTTGGAGGAATCATTCCGTTGAAGGTTATTTTTGATGAGGCCTAGCCCCTTTTCGAGACCAGAGCCCGAAAGCACGATCTAGTAGAGTCTTGATGATTCCTCTCTTAGTCGATTGATGGTGGTTGGATTCCTGGTTCAGCTACAGTCCCTAGTAGTTCAATTAAGTGCCTTGAATTTTTCACAAAAGATGATGTTTTTCCTTGCAGTGGTTTAATTATTGGAAGTAAAAGTCTGGACAAATTCTGAGTGGCTGAAGCTCTGGATCTAATGATCGGCCTGAGCGGAACATCCTTCTCGCGAATTTTGGGTAGTCCATACAAGTGAGGAGGCCTACTGTTGTACGGTGTTAGCAATGATCTCTCTTTTTCCGAAAAATAGACTTGCTGTTATTTAAAGGTCTGGTACAACTTCCTTTCAATTGGTGCAGCAGGGTCTCTTACGATCTTCGTGTATTTTCCTTTCTTAAGCACCTCTTCTATCTTCTGTTCGTAGAGATCAGTATCCATCACAACAATAGCATTTCCCTTATCTGCAGGTAAGATCTTGATGGTGTTGTCTTTACTTAGCCCGTTCAGGGCTCTCCGTTCTTTATTGCTGATGTTAGATGTTGGAAGTGGTTCTCGATCTAGCTATTGTCTGATTTTCCATCAGAATTCTTCTACCTTAATCTGATCAATAAGGGAACTGGTGGATTCCACTGCGGTTATTATTTCCAAAGTGGGCACAGATGTTGGTGCAATGGCGAAGCTTAGACCTTTCCTCAACAAGGATTCCTCCATGTCCGTGCGCAGGCTCATGTTGATGACGTTGGCGGCTTCATAGTTGTCCGGTTTTCGTTCTGCATTTGGGCATTGTTTCTCCACCAACTTTCTCCACTTCCTGTTGTTAGCACTAGCACTTCCAGAAGTTAGCACTAGGTGCTATCCCACAATATATTGGTTTCACATAGAATTCAGTCGTATTACAAAACAGAATGAAGAAGGAAATTGCTCTAACTCTCCACATACGGAGAGTGGAAGTTTTACAGGGCTCTATCTTGGTACCTGTGCTATTCATCATCTATACATATGAGTTCCAACAAAAATATCAAGTTCAGTTGCAAAATTTCTCTTTGTTTCAGATGAAGACGAATACAAATATTTTGTGGCCTTAGATCTCGGAATAATAGCGAACAGAATGTACTTGAAACCACAAACATACTTCAGGTCCACCCAGACCTACGAACTTATTGAGCCACAAAATTATCATCGTCAAGATGACGATTCCTATGATTATTTCGAAGGTATATGTTGATAATTGAAGGATAACAAAGAAATTACAAATCTCTCATTGATAATCTGTAAATGGTATGGTTATGTGTAAAACTTCTAAAACCAAGCAGTGCTTAAATATTATGATAAAAAAGATATATGAAAAATAAATGATATGTTTTTTCCAGAAGATTTAGTGTATTTTTTTACTACTTCATTCCTGTAATTGACATATTCTTCAGATTGATTAATTGAAGGTGATAGAAAAATGGACATTTGACAATCATTTTAATAATCATTATAAAAATAAAAATTATATCAAATGTAATTATGAAAGAACTGACCCCTTACAAATTAATAACACTATCCATGTTAACAATTGAACAATTTCACATGTACTTGAGTTTCATAAAGCTGTTGCTTTATGACACTGTCCCTATCCTCCCAGGAAACTGATCAACTCCGTCAAAAAATAAACCAAGGTAGGTTTGTGACCACTGAACCTTCCAGATTCGAATACTAAAGAACTTGAAGTATTATGATCGTATACAATCTAACAGTTGAACTGAATGGTTCGTAGGCTACCATAGATTTTTTTGTATAAAATTTGATTTCATATAATTCAANAGTAGGTATAAAATAGTGGAGCAATAGTTCAAATGGGGAAGTATAATACTATTGTATATCACCGTTTTTGTCCATGCATTAAGGTGTCTTGAACATTTTAATAAAAAGTTTACTTTAAAAGAAATAGTTTTTGATATACATATAGTTTGCATGTTCTTTAAACGTTAGTCCTTGGTCAACTATAATACCCAAGTATTTGATTTTTTTCACTTGTTCGATTGGGTTCCTGCATAACTTGATTTCCAAATTTTGGCTTGGCAGTGTTTTAACTCGGAATTTTCAATATGACAAATTCTGAAGTATTGCGCCACAAGCGTAGGCAAATAAACAGATCGAATGACATAATCATATGAATAAAGGCCAATTGAATCGAGTTACCTCACTCGATTTGCATTTTGTTGCCGTTAAAATAAAAAAACCGATAACAGTTATAAGCTGATTAGTCATTCATCTTTCATTCATGACGCGTTTTATAGTGGGAAATCTAATTTAAATACTTTATGATATCTATTGTGTATGCACTGTGTCGCTTTTTATGGTTGACAGACTGGAATACATTTCATCACCTTTAAGGAACTCTTCAAATGTTAGTTTTGAGCGGTCTCGTCATGATTTAATTTACAATACTCGTGCATTATCTATTCAAATGGTGCAGTTCCTGTGAACGAGCACATTTTTTTTAAATGGAACAAGGTGAAAATAAGTATGCGAATGTTTTGAACAGCTGAAGATCAAATACACACATCAAAAAAGGCTGGGGAACAATAATTAAAATGCATGTAGGTCTTCCGGAACACCTGGTATATCCCTTAAAATTTATACTGATACTGTATACAAGTATTTCGGTCGCGAGAAAAACAAGACATTTTTCATAGTCTCAAATGAAATGTACATTTTTTAATTTCGTTTCAAAAATAGTCTTTGTTCAAAAAATACGTCGAATTTTCATTTTTCTCAAAAAATATTCATTAATTTATCTATTTCTATGTTGTCCCTTCAAACGTAGCATTTTTTCCAATCCTGATACTCACTTTTTGGTATTTCCTCAGCGATTCAGTTTTCACATCCTCAATCGTCTCAAACCGCTGTCCTTTCATGGGTCTCTTCAATTTCAGAAAGGAGAAAAAGTCACAGGAGGCCAAATCTGGTGAATACGGTGGCTGGGATATGAATACGGTCTTGTTTTTGGCCAAAAAATTACGAAAAGACAATAACTAGTGACGCAAAACCCAACGTATTGTTTTTCCACAACACCGGACATTTTCTTCGTATTGATTTTCGCAAACGGCGCATAACTTTTACGTCCCTTTCTTTCACGATGATCATTTGAATAGTGAAATGTATCTTCATTTTATATTCATTGAATTCGATGGCTACTTAGATAAATTGCCACATGAAATACAATATTTTCAACAGGACGGCGCTCCTTCCCATAATGCAGCAATAGTAGGGAAACATTTAGATGCAATATTCTCAAGAAAATGGATTGGGGACAATGGACCAATTAACTAGCCTTCTTTTCCATACTAACAAATCACACATAAAAACAATAAGTTAAATCAAAATACTTTTATTAACGGGTGTTACTTTATTTCACAATAGACAGTTTCGCTTCATTCGCCTTTCCTACGCAGACTAACTCGCAGTTGCGCCGCTAGCCTTTTTATATGCAGTTATTACTGCCATCTCGAGGTGATCGGAATACACTAGCTAGAACCAGAACTTTCTCGAACCAACGCGGAAATTCCAAATATTTAATTACGCCTAATGCCACCTAACGGGTAGCTGCACCAATGTTTTTGCTTGTGAATTTGTGGTTGCATGCCAAGTTTTGAGAACGTCGAATCACCTTTTATGTTCAGCATACCGTTTTTGCAAATTTCGACCACATTGTCCCTCATAAACACTATTACACTCCGGACACTTAACTCCAGATTTCTCCAACTTGTCCACCTTATCTTTGGAATTGAAAAGGAAATCAGTTAACCTGGCATGTGGTCTGAATGTCACTTCCACATTGTTTTTTCTGAAGAAACCCGCAATAATCTCTTTTCTTTTCCCAAAATATGTTACAGTTACCCATTTCTTGATTTCTGGTTGTTCGACCTGGGGGTATATTAATCTTTAAGTGAATTTACGGCTTTGTTTCCTGACTAACTTCTGGATAGTGTGTTGAAGCCATTATTATTACCTATCTGTGTAATTATATCAATTTCCCTAGCTAGATTGTTAGCAGACAAAGACAGTGGGAATGCTCTGTGCAACATTGAATTTTAGGCTGCTTATTTATGACTGTTTGGATGGAAAAATCGCTTGGGATGGTGATGTTTGTATAGCTAGGTTTTCTGAAAACACTGAACTCAAATTTATTCTGATTATGTGTAATGGTCAGGTCTAAGAAATTTATCTGTTTCTCTATCTCTGTTTCGAGTGGGAACTGAATGTTGCTATTGATATTATTCATGAATGTCATAACAGGTGAGAGTATCGTCTACATATCTGTACCCAAAAAGGAATAGGTATGTTTTTTACCCAGGTCGGAATTTACTATAGTGTTCTTCAAACTGTAACTGCAGTAACGTTAGTTACAGATAAAAGTGGTAAAAAACAGAAAGTTTCAATTCCCTTTTTTTCATTCGATAAAGCACTTATTAGGAAGAAATTATTCAGTAAGACCACGTGTTGCGTTTTGTAAACTGTCCATCACGTATGACAAATTATGAATAACTGGACGATCTGACACAACAATTTTCTATCTATATTACTGGGTTATAGGAAAGGCAACGACCTAACCAATAAATAATTACTCTACTCCGTTTATGTACTTAATCCATCGTTTGTTTAAACGAAGCTTAAATTTAGAACACTTTATATTTCTGATTGCACTCGTTTAATACTAAAACGCACAAAGATTTTCTCTGATATTGAAATAAAGCTCGTGTGAATAAATACGAGATGATGAAAATAAACAATGAAGAGTGTTCTCAAAATACGACACCGGGACGTAAGTACTTAATGTGTCTTCGCAGAGTTCAAGCGAAGCAACCTTGAAATGCGGTTACACTTTTTTGTAATCTTTGTCATGAATTCCGAGACAATACTAGTTTGTAATGGCTGTTTCGTGCTTAGAATGAAAATGAAGAGTTATCATCAATTTTGTAGAGTATAAAGTACATGCAATGTCGATGAACTTCTGAATTATTTGACCGCTGTGGTGAATTTTCATTTTTCTTAAAAACTATTTATTTATTCATTCGTCAATTTTTATTTCATCCTCTTCAAAGTGGACAGAATCAGAAAATGTTATTCATCACAAAAGAATACACATTGTGTGGTGAAAACTGCAGAATATGTAACTTGTCGGTCTAGTCAAAAATATATTTGTATATAAAATAGATTAATTAAAATTGATAAAATATAGACAATACAAAATTTAGTGAAACTCTTCTAGTATACTATTAGGTATTGGTCCACCATTGTTATTTCTGAAGTATTGCGCCAC